TCGAAGTGCATGCATGTTTGTACATCTGTTTATACACACATGCGTGTATGCATGCATGTATATATATATATACACATGCATGTATGCATGCACACATGGCTGTAAGTATGTATACATGTATGCGTGTATGTGTATGTTTGTGTGTGCATGCATGTACGTATGTATGAATGTATGCATGCATTCATGCATGTATGCCTGCATGCGCACACGTATGTATGCATGGGTGTATGTGTGCCCGTGTGTACGTATGTATGTGTTTATGTAGGTATGCATGTATTTGTGTACGTAGGTGTATGAATGTATATGCATGAACGTATACATACATGCATGTTTGTATGTATGTGTGCATGTATGTGTGTATGCATGTATGCATGCGTGCATGTATGTATTCATGTATGTTTGTGCATGCATGCATGTACCTATGTATGCATGTGTGCATGCACGCCTGCATGCATGTGTGTATGCATGTTGGTGTTTCTGTATGCGCGTATGTCTGTCTGTATGTATGCATGAATTCATGTAGGTATGCATTCATTTATGTATGCATCAATGTTTGCATGCATGTATGTATGTATGTATGTATGTGTGCATGTGTATAAGTATATACTTATGCATGTATGCATGCATGCATGTCTGCATGTATGTATGTGTGTGTATGTATGTATTGATGAATGCATGCATGCATACATGCATGCAGGTATGCATTTGCGTATGTATGTCTGTAAACCTGTATGTGTTGACATGCATGTATGCAAGTATGTATGTCTTTCTGTATGCATGCTTGTATGCATGTCTGCATGCATGCATGTACGTATGCAGGTCTATATGTACGTATGTAGTGATTGTGTACGTCTAGACGTATGTCTGCCTGCATGCATCATGCATGTATGTACATATGCAAGTATGCATGTATGCGTGTATGCATGTACGTGTGTACGTATGTACGTATGTATGTATACACGCATGCATGCATCCATGCATGCATGCACGTATGTATGTAAGTTTGTATGTTCCCTAATCAGATCTTGCCTCTGTAGGGGTCCTAGCGGATTCATTTGGTTAGGTTAGCTGTGGCGCTGATTTCGACGGCAAGCCCAGGTGCCCGGGTGCCCGGGTGCCCGGGTGCCCAGGTGCCCGGGTGCCCTGGTGCCCTGTAGCCCTGTAACCCTGTAGCCCTATAGCCTTATAGCCTTATAGCCCTATACACCTATAGCCCGATAGCCCTACAGCCCAATAGCCCTGTAGCCCTCATAGCTCTATAGCTCCATAGCCCTGTAGACCTATAGCCCTATAGCCCTGTAGCCTTAATAGCCTTATAGCCCTACAGCCCCATATCCCTGTAGCCCTATAGCCCTAAAACCTTATAGCCCTATAGCCTTATAGCCCTATAGCCCTATATCCCTATAGCCTTATAGCCCTACAGCCCAATGGCCCTATAGCCCCATCTCCCTATAGCCCTATAGCCCTATAGCCCTATAACCCAATCGCCCTATAGCCCTATAGCCCTATAGGCCTTATAACCCTTTAGCCCTATAGCTCTATTGACCTATATACCTATAGCCATATGATCCTATAGCAATATAGATAGCCGCCCCATAGCCCTCAACATACTACGATTGGGTTTTCTCTGGTATCGTATGTTTGTATGCATACATGTATACATATACGTATGTAGATATGCATTGATGTATGTATGTATGTGCGTACGCATGTGTGTTTGTATGTATGTATGGATGCATGTATGCACGCATGCATGCATGTGTGCATGTATGTATGTATGTATGCATGTATGCATGTATGCATGTATGTATGTATTGCTGTATGCATGCATGCATATATGCATGCACTCAGGTATGCAGGTATACAATCATGTTTGTGTATATGTATGTATGTATGTGTATGTATGTGTATGTATGTATGCATGCGTTTATGTATGTATGTACGTATGTATGTATGTACGTGTATATGCATGTATACATGTATGTATGTATGTATGTATGCATGCATGCATGCATGTATGTATGTATGTATGTATGTACGCATGTATATATGCATGCATGTATGTATGCATGCATGCATGTATGTATGTATGTATGTATGTATGTATGTATGTATGTAGGTAGGTAGGTAGGTAGGTAGGTAGGTAGGTATGTAGGTAGGTAGGTAGGTATGTATGTATGTATGTTTGTATATCTGTATGTGTGTGTGTGTGTCTATTTGTACATGATTATATATTTATGTATGAGTAGGTCCCGATTGGGGGGCAGATCGGTGCTACAGTGCCGCATGGGGGGCCAACCGAGCCTGGACCCACCAAAAGGGCCCTCAAGGGGGCCCAGAGGGCACCGAACCGCCCCCAGCACGCCCACGAGGCCCGCGAGGCCTCCAAGACGACCCAACAAACAGGTGCGAATTGTTCTCTTAAATTTGAGTTCCCGGGAGGGGGCGGGCACAGAAGTGGATCGTGACGAACGCAGTCGAGGTGCGCGTCAGAAAGCCCGCGTGACAGGCGTCGACGACGCCCCCGCCCTCTCCTGCGCCTCCTGTTGGTTCTGGCGCGTCTGGCAGGAGTTGGGTCCTAGGGCGCCGCCGACAGGCCCTGGCGGGGCCCAGCCCAGCCCGGAGCGCAAAAGGGGCCGGCCACGAAACCCCGAGCAAGCAACAAAAATCCATCGCTCTGCCGCTCCCCACTGTTTCTGATTACGGGGGTGCTCGGGCCCAGGCGGCCCTCTTTCTCCCATTTCCCGATTCGGGGCGTAGCGGCGATGATGGACCGTGTGCTACCTTTAATTCGTATTTGAATCGGAGGAGGGCCAGCGAGCCCGCCTTCGTCGATCCCTGTCGTTTTATGGGGTCTGGCGTCCGAAGGCGGTGGTTCCGCCTTGGTTCAACGATGGTTCCGACGTTTCCATTTCTGCGGCACCCTGTAAGTTGACAAGCAGGGCTGAACCTGAACGGTGTTTTTCGTTTTCACTTTGTTTTCGTTTTCCCTCGCTTTTGTCTCGAATCTGCCTCTACCGCAAAACGAAGTCGAAACGAAAACGGCCCACGAAATCGCCAACAACACCGTTTAGGTCCAGCCCTGTTGACAAGTTTCCTGGGCTTTGATCCTTTTTTAGCGTTCCTCCGGGCAGTGCCATGATCGTATCGAGGGAAATGCTGCCTCCTCCTGTGCTTGATTTTTCATCCCGGGGGTCTCGTGCTCCGCCGCGCGTGGGGGGGGGCCCTGCAGGTGCGGCGGCGCCCCGCATGCTTGGCGCCCTGGCCTCCCGACCCGATCTGCAGTCACATAGCGCAGTAAGGGTGCAGTACCTTACCACGGCTACACATTGTTAATCCCACCAGCCCTCTGGGCGTCGGTGGTTTAGAGCGTTTCCTCTTCCACCCCTCCTTCTTCCCCTTCGGGGACCCCTCCCCACTGACCTGGACAGGGGGGGCGGGGAGCGGTCAGAGCGTCCAAAACGGCCTCGCCGAGGAAGCCAAAATCATTGATTTTACTACGGTTTTGGCCCCATTTTGGCCCCCAGAGGGGGCAGCACTAATTGAAGCTCCCCTCTTCTTTGATCGATTTCCTCCAAGATGGCCCCAAGAAGCGCCCAGGAGGCACCAAGAGGCCCCAAGATGGCCCCAAGATGGCTCCAAGAGGCCCCCAGGAGGCCCCCAAGAGGATCCCAAACGGCCCAAAGAGGCCCCCCCGAGGCACCCAAGACGCCGAAAAGCCCCTCAGGACGACCCTCTACTCGCCTGGGCGTCGTTTCTGGACGGGCTGGTGGGGATACGCGAAGCGTCTAGAATTTCCCATTATTCGCAAGTTCTTTGATTTTTTGGGGTGCCAAGGTCCTTTCATTTCCAATTGTTCTATCCTGGGCCTTGTCCTGGCCACTAGGGGGCCAGGAACAATTAGAAACGAGCCCAATTTGAAATGAGCACGATTCGGAATGAACGGCGTGTACTCTCGCATCCTTGCCTCATCACCCCCTTCCCACCCATGGCTTCTGGTAGAGCTGCTGGCTCGATGCCGAAAACGGCTTCGCATCCTTACTCAGAATCTTTGCTGCGCCCCCCTCCCCCTGACCCACCCCCCCTCTCCCGTGCGTTGAGGCGGGGCCCCGAGAAGCGCCCAATGGGCCCTCGATCGATTCCTCCCGACGACGGCGATAGAGGAGGAGGAGGAGGGGAAGGAGGATGAAACGGGTGAGGAGGAGGAGGGGGAGGAGGAGGAGGAGGGGGAGGAGGAGGAGGAGGAGGAGGAGGAGGAGAAGGAAGAGGAAGACGAGGAGGAGGATGAGGAGGAGGAGGATGATGAGGATGAGGATGATGAGGAGGATGAGGATGAGGAGGATGAGGATCAGGATCATGATGATGATGATGATGATGATGATGATGATGATGATGATGATGATGATGATGATGATGATGATGATGATGATGATGGTGGTGGTGGTGGTGGTGATGATGATGATGATGATGATGATGTTGATGAGGATGCTGATGCTGATGATGATTATGATGATGATGCTGCTGATGATGCTGATGATGCTGCTGATGATGATGATGATGATGATGATGATGATGATGATGATGAGGAGGAGGAGGAGGAGGAGGAGGAGGAGAAGGAAACGGAGGGGGCGGCGCGAGCATTGCTGCAATTCGGAGAAGGAAACGGAGGAGATCGCGGCCTGTAACAGGGGGTCGCCGTTCGCCATGGGGTGGCGCGAGAGCGCTAAGGTAATCGTGCTGCGCGCCTGGAACGCGAGGATTGTGCATCTAGCTTATTCGGCGAATGCTGCGAGGGTGGCGTCAGGAGCTTTGTGCCTCAATTTTCGAGCGCTAACTTCAAATTCGTAGAAGTCCTGACATCAGTAAGACGTCTCTCATGCTCTTCCATACGATTCATCTGATGCTTATCGCGGCTGCAGTGTATGGGGACACTTGCCGTTTGGAGCACGTGGACTTGAGGGGCCTCGCGAGGGTCGATGGACCTAAGGCGCCACGCTCGCAAAAGAACTAGAGCGGGAGAGGGGGAGGAGGAGGGAGGGAAAGGAGCAGCGCGGGCCCGTGCAGGACTCCGAGCGCGAGGGCGGGGCCGCCGCGCGGGGCTCCAGCGCCAGCTGCGGAGCCAGCGAGCCGCCGGAGGGCCCGAGGCCCCTGGGGTCGGCCCTGGTGCGGGAGAAGTTCACCTGCCGCAGCGTGAGAGAGGCCCTGCCCAGGCCGAAGACCAGCATCGTTTGACCGATTCCCATCTCCACCGGCCCATGGTATCTCAGCCACGCGATCCCATCCCCGCAGTCTGGGACAGGCCCCTCAGGACTCGAAGGGAACCGCCTGCATCTCCCCATCTCGGGGGGTGAACCGACCAGCTGGGCCCAGTTCACGCCGGTGGGGATAAGGGGTACTTTGGTTGAACGGTTCTCAGAAGAACAACAGCGCAGCAGGGGCACAAGCCTTCTGGCGGGGGCCCGCACGGACTTCTTGGGTCGGCACTGGGCCCCTCCTTGGCGGCTCCTCTGGCGCCGCCCGCAGCGCGCCTTGCGCACCAGGCCAGGGGGGTTGCGGCGCCGGCCTCGGAAGTCCGAGCGGGCCTCCGACAGTTGCTGTACGTCTTGCTGGCTCTGCGCCCCTGGCAGGAGCCACAGCGAGCTGTGGAAGTGCAGCACGATATGCCACGCGGACAACGGCCGACGGCGCTTCTCCACCAACAGGTGAGCGACAGAAAAAAACGGGGTCGCCTGCGCGGATATTTGCGCGTACGCTCTCTGCGCAAGGTCGCGCGTGAGCGCCCTCGTTTCCTGTGTAGCGGGCCGCGCTGGCGGCCTACGTACGCCACCGCGTAGGGTCGCCATGCCATTGTTTCGTCGCTGAGGTTCTCGCGGAACGGATCCAAGGGCCCAGTCGCGGACTACGAGGAGATCATGAAGTTTCTGCTCGAGGTCCCGCTTTTCGCGAGGCTGCCGAAGGGCATGCCCGCCCTTGTCGCGAAGGCCTGCGCGCTGAAGGTGTTCCCCGCGGGCCAGGTGATCATCAAGCAGGCCGCCTCTCGCTCTCTATCTCTCTCTATATTTCTCCCGTTTCTTCGAATTGCAAGAAGCGGCATCAACATCATTCCTCGGGGGTCTGCGCGGATGACGGGAAGCGCCTTCTCGGAACGAGAAGGTGATGGGAATTTTCTAGCATTCCTGAATAAGGTGTAAATGGAGAACGAACTCGCGAGGGACAATTGGCTGCCAGTTGTAACAGATTGTTCGCTCGGCGGATGACGGGAAGGGCCTTCTCTGAACGAGAAGGTGATGGGAGTTTTCTAGCATGACCTAACGAAGGTATGAATGAAGAACAAACTCGCGAGGAACAACTGGCTGCTGGTGTGGGTGCCAATCGCTTGGTGGATGACGGGAAGCGCCTCTCGGAACGAGAAGCTGATGGGAGTTTTCTAGCATTACTGAGTAATGTATGAATGAAGCACTAAGATGCGAGGGACAACTGGCTGCCGATTGTCGGGGCCAATCGCTTGGCGGATGACGGGAAACGTCTTCGAGGTATTCGAAGCGAACTGTACGTTGTGGCTGAATCTGCGTCATATCTGATAGAGTTCTTATTCATATAGGGTGGCGGTTTACGGGCAGCATTTTCGAGGTATTCGAAGCGAGCTGGACGTTCTGGCTGAATCCGCATCATATCTAATACAGTTTTTACTAATACAGGGTGGCGGGCCGCACCTGGCTAATCGTTAGGCGTCTTCGAGGTATGAGAAACGAGCTGGACGTTCTGACTGAATCTGCATCATCTATATATAGATATGTATATATATATATATATATATATAATACAGTTCTTAGTGATGTAGGGTGGCGCGCCGCACGGTTTTTTCGTTAGTGGATGACGGGAAGCATCTTCGAGGTATTCGAAGCGAACTGGACGTTGTGGCTGAATCAGGGTCATATCTAATAAAGTTCTTACGGATATAGGGTGGCGGATCGCATTTGATTTTTCGTTGGCAGATGACGGGAAGCGCGCGTAGACTCGAAGAGTCGCGCGATGGACGTTTGCTCAGACCAGGGGGGAAGATTTATCAACTGGGGACGTGCAGGAGGGGAAGGTTTCGGGATTGCTCCTCCATCGGGGCCTGTCGGATGACGGGAAGCGCGGTAAGACTCGAAGAGTCGCGCGATGGACGTCCTGTTGCCCAGAGGGAACTTTTGATCAACTGGGAAGGTCCAGGAGGGGGAACGCGCGTTGCGCACTCGTTGTCAGGGACCTGGCGGATGACGGGAAGTGTGGTAAGAAAGGCCCTTGCTCGAGCGATTCTGGCGTCGTTTCTCGTGTTTGCGGGGTCGCAAGGCCCCGCGCAGCATGACCATCTGTCGATGGCGGGACATGTCATGTTTCGTTTCTCTTCTGCGCGCCATCGCTCGCCGAAGTTCACTACGCTTGAGGGCCGAGCGTTCGGTGGCGGCACGACCACCGTGGAGTTCCATGTCGCAGGATGACTACTATGACGGGAGCGAGCCAGTGCACAGCACATGGAGCTATCATCGCGCCCATCGTGATATGCTCGCCAGAGGGCGGGTGTGGCCTGAGGTCGACCTTCCTGTCGGCCAGGACGTTGCGGCACTCTCCAGCTATGTGGCACTTCAGACGGCGACACAACTTATTCGCCTGAAGCTCGGATCTGGGATCGCCCTGGCTACATCATCACGCCTTCCCCGCGGCTAGAGTCCACGCGGATTGCTTCACGGTGGGCTGGGACAATTGGTGGGCAGCCAAGCGGCTTGCCAAGGAGCGTGCGGCGGCGGTCCTTGCAGGCAACGGTGCCAGCAAAGGAGCGGACCCACCGCGCGGGTAGCCCAGTGCCCGACCCTCGGGTCAGACGGGTGCGCTTCTTGGACCGCCCGACCTACCACTACATCGAAGAAGAAGTTGAGGGTGCAAAATGCCCTGGGTCTCGACGCTACCTACCGCGCGATCAGCGACCGCCACCTGAAGAAGAGGCTCAGTCGGTCCGGGAGAATGAGACGTCCAAGTGCACCGATACTCCGCCAGCTACTGCAGGGGGCAGGTCCAGCAGGTGGGGCATCGGCAGGGCCACCTCGACAACTACGACACCATCCTCTGCGCCCAGAAGACCGCCGCCCCGTGAGAGCGCACCCGCGCCAGCCCATGAACGGGAGGTGCGTCGCTGGGCACGGAGCTGGATCCGCAGCGCGAGGGGCGGGGCCCAACCAGATGACGAGGCTGAGTGGAAAGACTGGTGCGAGGCCGACTTCGCAGTGGAGTTCCAGCATCTGCGTTTTCAATGGGTGCTTGCTGTTCGGGGTCAAACTGCTGAACAACTTGTGCGCGAGATGCGCGGCCGCGCGTGGCGCGAGGGCGCCAACCGCAGGGCTGCTTTCCTACGGGCTGCTTTCCTGCGATGGCTGGGCGCGCTCTCGCCTGCAGCACGGAGCGCTGCATGCGGCATGCGCCAGTATGATCAGGATCAACTGCGGAGCTGGATCGCCAGTCCGAATCGGGCAGGACCAGCGCCGCCCACAGAGACGCCTCGACGTCCACGCTGGCAGCTGTGTCCGCGCTGGTATTCGGGGACGACGGCGTCGACGGCAGATGCGGCCGCCTGCGTCGCCGTCCAGTGCCTGGGGCGTGCATTCCCCGGGGGGGGGGGGGGGGGCGGGAGCCTTCGCATCTCGCGGATGCGAGGCGCCGACGCCCTGTGTCGCCCTGAAGGAGGACGAGACCGAGAACGACCGACAGTAGGTCCAGATGGCCTCGAAGGCGGTGGCCACGGCTGGCGAGATGGCCCCCGCAATGCGCCCGTGCCGAGCGGGGCGCTGCTTCGTGGCAGAGTGCCAGGACAGCGTGAAGGAGGGCAGGGTTCGCTGGGTCGGAGCGACTGACCGTCACCGCGTGCAGATCGTATCCATCCCACAACTTTGTGGGGCGTTGAAGTGGCAGGAGCTTGCGGGACTTATGATCGACGACGATCATGCTCCTCGCAACGCGCCGTGAGCTCAAGGAAGTGAAGTAGTAGACTGGGGCGTTGGGTTTACTTCAGGGGAGTCCACCAGGTTGCATGCAACAGTGCTCATTTCTGCAGTGAAGCCTGCTCCAGGCGCCTGGTTTAGTTTTGTGTTTTTTGTCCAACGCTTGTGCCTCTTCTCTTCGTCCGCCCCCTTTCCTTCTCGGCCCGCTGCGTTGGCGACTTTGAGGTTGTCTCGGCCCGCGGCCCTGCCCTTGCGTGGCCTGGAGGGTTGCCGACTTCGCAGTGCTGGTGAGGGCGGCTCCCGCCATGCTGCGCTATGCCTTTCTTGCGCATGATGTGTTGCGCTGTTTCAGAAATCACTGCCCGCCGCCGGGCTGATGTGCGGGCTTCCCACCAGTGGGCGGTGAGCTTCGTATGTTGTGTCCGCGGACGCGCGCGCGCGGGCCGGCCTTGCGGTCGGTTCTGTGAATGCTCGCGAGACTTCAGCGTTGGGGTTGCGTCTTCAAAAAGAAGTGCGCTAAGAAGGCCCTGGTTCGGGCGATTCATGGCGTTTCTCGCGCGTCGGCGGGGTCGCCAGCCCCCGCGCGGCATGCGTGCAGTCGATGGCGGGGCATGTTTCGTTTCCTCTTCTTCTTTGCGCCATCGCTTGCCGAAGTTGCCCGCGCTGGGTGGCCGAGCGTTCGGTGGCGGCGCGATCATCGCGGAGTTCCGCGCTGTCGTTTGATACCGGTGTTGGGGGCGAGCCAGTGCACGGCATCAGTTGCAATCGCCGTGCCTGCCGTGCCATTCTCGCCAGGGGGCGAGCGTGGCCGCGGTCCGATCTCAGTGAAGTCCAGGACGTTGTGGCGGGCCGTCGCTATGGAATCGCTCAACTCGGCGACGCAGAAGTTGCAGCGGCCTCGGGAGATGCGGGCGCGGCGGGACCTCGACCATTTCTCTATCTATTGCCGTGGAACGGTCATGTGGCTCGAGGAAGTTCAAGATGATCCCGACACTGTGGGCCATCGTGTACGCTAAACGCCAGCCGACGGGCCGAAGTACCTGCTTTCTCGACGCATCGGAGTTGAGAACACTCAGCAGCATGTGTCCAAGGTTGTACAACAGAGCGGACATCGCGCTCATTAGATGGCTCGTTTGGGACCCGACTGTAACCAAGTGGCCTGGCTTCCCGTGCGCCTACATTCGGTGGTTCTCGGTCGACTACTCTAACCTATTCCGCGACTTTCGGACCGAGCAGAATGGGAAGCTGGCGCAGTGCTCCTCCGTGGCCCGTGAGAGCCGACAGTGGCCGCAGTGCTTGGACTCGGCCAAATTTTGCTCTCTCGCCCTGGTGGCGTCTCAGCTGTTGCAGTATTTTTGTCCAACCATCCTGTGGTGTTGGGTCCTCGTTTTGAAGAGACGGTGCCCCGCGTCTCTCCTCCTTCCTTCACTCCTCCTCCCCCTCCTCCCTCCCCGCTCCTCCCTCCTCCCTCCTCCCTCCTCCCTCCTCCCTCCTCCCCCTCCTCCCTCCTCCCCCTCCTTGCCTTTGCTTTCGGAGCACCTCTCGCGCGTTTCGTAGCCCCATAGGGGGCTCCACCGAAGGTCCCAGTGGCACAGCCCGCGTGCGTCTGCCGCACCCAGTACAGCGTTTCGTGGCCCCATAGGGAGCTCCACCGAAGGCCCCAGTGGGGGGGGGCGCATGCGTCCGCCACACCCAGCACAACGTTTCGTGGCCCCGTAGGGAGCTCCACCGAAGGTCCCAGTGTGGGGGGGGCGCATGCGTCCGCCGCACCTAGCACAGCGTTTCGTGGCCCCATAGGGAGCTCCACCGAAGGCCCCAGTGGAAAGGGGGCGCATGCGTCCGCCACACCCAGCACAGCGTTTCGTGGCCCCATGGGGAGCTCCACCGAAGGCCCCAGTGGGGGGGGCGCACGCGTCCGCTACACCCAGCACAACGTTTCGTGGCCCCATAGGGAGCTCCACCGAATGCGTTGCTCACAAAGACGGTACTCACAACTGCATATGGTTGGGTCCTTCGCCAGGCTAATTTGGTGTTTTTTTCCAACGTTGGCGTGT